TGTTTAGTCTGCAGGCCTCTACATCCTGCCAAGGACTAGGAATGGAAACCGTTTGCTTCGTTGACCTTGTTGCCGTGTAGCTTTCCCTGCGACAGGTGGCATGAGAAAAGAACGAGGAAGGCCTTGATGCTGTAAAAACCCAGAGTGCGACGTGGTTCATTTTGCTATTTGCTGCCATCTGAGAGCAAACGGTGCCTCAACATGTCTGAATGCAGAGGAGAGCCGGAGCAAGTTTTGTCCTCAAGACCTGGCTGTGACTTTTTCAACACACCCTAAGGGATCGCAGCAGGTTTTTTTTTTCTTTTTTCCTTTCACTTTTGTCCCTTTTATGCCGAAGCAGCAACACAAACAGCCATCGAATTACTGAGGACTGGCTCCTTGGGAGAATTACGCAACGCAGGTTTTGGGAATTGCTTCAGTGCTTCTAAAGAAACGGGGGAAGAAGTGACAGTTGAGACTTGGCAGTAAGCAGCCACTGGCTCGCTGCACAGCTGCAGCTCCAAGTATCTGCAGGTTATCGCTTCAGGGTTCTCACACATTTTCCATGTCAAAGGTTTATATTTTTCTAGATTTACATTTTTCTTTTAGTTTTTCTTGTAGCCCATTTGAAAGTATAAATACAAAGTTCACTGTGAATTTTATACAGACACTTCTACAGTGAAAAAATGAAGGATGGGTAGGGGATGGAACTTTTTGACAAATATACATATATAAATAAACACAGCAATTTTTCAAAGATTTTTCAACGTGACGTCACACACATAAGATTCTAGCCCCCCCGCCCCCAACTCCCTGCTTGAGGGCGATAAACTGCTTGGAGACAATGGCTACAATTAGCATTAGCTGTCAAGATGTCACCATAGCACGCTAAATATTAAATGTAAAGGGATATATGACAGAAAAAGAACAAAGTGATTGGCTACTGATTATCAACACTATGACAACTAGATAACAGGTCAGGAAAAAATTTTTAAGAAAAAAAATAGAGAGGGAGAGAGAAGTAGGTCAGTTGTGCTAGCTTGACTATGACAAACTTAACATGTAGATACTCTGCAGAACTCTGTGTGTTTTGGCTCAGTTAAAAAAATCAGGTGACCTATACAAAACAACTGTCTGTCAGAGCATCAGTAGAGCAGGTGTTTACATTTGCTGATCAACCACCAGTGTCCAGATGATCACTGATTAACAATCATAATAAAATAAACACCAAGATGAAAACATAAAACTGTAATGTACTGAATGTTCTGTTCTTTATGTGGGAAATGTTTGCATATTTTTTGCTGTTGAATCCTGACACTAGTGGAGCTGTTGCCAGTCAATTCCCAGCCCACAAACTTAGATGGGATGAATGTGAGCTACAATATGGGTCACATGGTTTTCTTGGTGGTTTTCATGGTGACCTTGCATGGGTAACCCATGACAACCATTCAGCTCTTCCTCTGAGCTGCAGTTTTCAAGCTTCACACAGCTTGTGTGACTCCCCTCAACTCCTTCAGACTAGCCAGCAGCAATTAGCAAACACCTGGTGGAACCGTTCATCTGCTGAGCTCATTATAGGAGCTACTTCTCAGTGAAATGCTGGTAAAAACATAGTTAAAGGGTTAATAGAGGAGCCATGTTGTGATGACTTCCTGAAGGTGGGGTTTCAGAAGGAGCAGGAGTTTCTTAAAGAAACGGAGACCTAATTTCAAGAAGTTGAATTACAAAGTGAAATTGCTTTTAAGCCATATCTGGTGTAGGATTTCTATGACAACTGAAGTTTACATAGTCACTTGATTGTGCTCTAAAATGGACCAATGTGTTTGTAAAACATGTAATACTACCCTTTTAAATGTGCAGGGGCACACAAAATCATTCCTAGGGCTGCATACGTCCATTCGGACACTCCTTATTTATATCAATGCAATATATTCTTAGATTCATCAACATCTGAGTCAAGATAAGACGCAGCGTGAGAGCAGCTCAGTGCCAACCTGAAACCTTAAACCCAACCGGAGGCTCCTGTGTCTGATTGGCTCCTGAGAGAATAAAATATTTAGGCTCTTCCTTTCACCCGCTCAGTGCAAATCTCATTAACATTATAATACAAACACTAAGGTTTTTTTAAAATCTTTTTTTTCCCAAATTGCTGTCAGTGAGACGGATCATAAGAGCAAGACAGCCGAAAGCCACCTCTCCGTCAACAGGTGTGAGGCTCCGCTGTTAAACCGTCCACATTGTGAGCTCTCCGGCTTTTCATGCCTGCTTACTTAGTAGCTTGAGAAGGAGAAAGGGGAGAGCAATTACTCCGTGAAACAGATATCCCCCGGCTCCTCCGCTCGGCCCTGAGCACACAAAGTGTTGGTCTGTCAGCAGTACCTTCGCTTGAAGAGATCGCTTTGCTGTTTTCCCTGCTTCCCTGGCGACCGTTTCATTTGATTATATGCTGCGGCGGCTGAAAGCGAAGCTCTCAGGGAGCCGGGCCATTTCTCACCACTGACTCAGCCCGCGGAATCCGTCCATTTCAAGCTTTAGCAGGGCTTTAGTGTTCAGCGTCACCTTAGACGGAGGCAGTTTGGCAGCGGGTCTCGTCCTGCTCGCGGTGCTCTCATCTGCAGATGTCGGAACGACGTCATAAAGGCCTGCAGGAGCCATCTTTTTCTGTTAGGGAAATAAAATGGGCTTTGTTATGAGAGACTGTCTTTCAGTCAGAGTTCTCTTTTCAGGGTATTTTTGGAAAACAATCTTGTCACGAGGACAGATTTTTTTTTCATTTTTTTATTTTCAGTCTAAGTCCAAAGAATTAGCTCTAGTTTCAATATGAGGCATCATCTGGCCAATAAAAAGCCAGGCAGCTTAGCAACCACCCGAGAACCTTAACGGGAGAACACCGTGTTCCCCCTCACTAACTGTGATGGGGAAAAAAAATCTCTTAAAAATAATAAATGCTGCTGTGAGATGGTTATCTTTTTTTTGTTGTTGTCATTGTTGGAAGTCAAACTTTTTAAAACCCAGAACATTAAGAGGGTCCAGACACGAACAGCTGCGCTTCCAGTAACCACACAATTCCACGGCAATTTGCATAAACAAACAAACAAACAAACAAACATGTTTTTCAATGAAAAGCTTTTGTGCTAAAATGAGGTGGTTTTTCAGCAGTATCAGAATAGATGTGTTTACAAAAAGTTCAATAGAAATACTTTGTTTGTTTCACATTAGCCACATGATCAACAGTCAGATGTTACTGCTGGTGAAAACAACAAAAAAGAGAACAGGAAGTGGTAGAAAGACGGCTTTTTTTCTGAAAATTCCTGAGATTAAACTCAGATTTTTTTAAGCCATTTAAAAAAGAACCTACGATGACCTCGACACTCTGTCACAGGTTGGACAGGGAGCATTCACAAATATTTATTTTTTATGTCTTTTCATGTAAAAATTCAGATTCCCATCTGGATTTACATTTGACTCTGCTCCTGTCTTAAATCCTTTGGTCCCAAATCAGGTTTCTTCTTCTTCTTCTTGAGTTGCTTTGTGTGTTGCTTCATCTATCATCTTTGCTTTTCTTTCCACAAGGGCAAGTTTAGATATAATTAAATATCTGCCCTTCCTTAACTCGAATGTGGATCTCTGCAGTTTATTTCAAAAGTATCCCCCACTTCTTGTTTTTGTCTCAAAAAATAAACCAATTAAAAAATATTGAGATTGTGTTTGGAAAGAGACAAAAATAAAAAAAATTCAACATGAATACTTTAACGAGGCATTGTTCAAACAACAGTGGTGGTTTTATTGACTAGCTGTTGGATTGATGGTTCATAAAGCAGAAGCAACAACATAAAGCCGTTCCAAGTAGTGAGGATGTTAAAAAAAAAAAAGAAACAAAAGAATCAGTAAACGAGTTTAACTGGAAATTTGTGGGAGAAAAATATAACAACTTTTTTTCTTATCTCCAGCAGGCAGTATCACGGACGAAAACGTCACGAATGAAAGGAAATATGATCTCAAGCACTTTGGTTCATATATTTTTAGCTCCAATGTGGATAGTCCACCTGTAGCACAGAACTAAGAGGTTGTGCAGGAAGCTAGCATGTGGCCGTCATGGTCGGCCTTCTCGCCTGCAGCCAGTTCTGTCTTGCATGAATTATTTACCTTTTTTACACCTGAAGTGTTTGTGTGTTTGAAGAAAAGCGGAAATTGAATAAACGTCAGATGAAAAAGTCACAATCATAATCAGTGGATGTAAAAGTGGCACCTCTGTTAAGATGCCAGGATTGTTTGATGAGACTTTGATGAGTCAATTCAAATGTTTTTCCAGTTTTTATGCTGCACATCTGTGCAAGTCAGCTGGAAAACTAATAAAGAAGCTTCAGCCGGGCTTTGCAGCACAATAGACCAAATGCTACCAACATGCCAGGTCTTCACACGCAACTCTGGATTAGAAAACGGGAAGCGTTACATCTTAAAAATCAACTTTTTGCTTTCTTTTTAATGTCATAGTAACTGGACCCACAGATATCCAACAACTTCTAGCACCATAAAAATTTGGAAAAAGTTTGCTTTTCTTTCTTTCGGTAAAGAAAACGTAAAAATCCTTTTTACTGTATGTTTTAAATCTGCAATAATTTTTTCATAATAATTACTATTTGCTTCATAAACAAACTGTTTTTACTTCTAAGTAAATCAGATTTTTGTCGCCCTCAGGCAGTTTTACTTTGATGATCGTGGCTCATGTGGCAGAAGGTTTGGACACTATTAGACCAATTCAAAATGCAAAAGTTTTAATAGCGTTTCACTGAGAAGTAAGCATTTTGCACAGCTGAATGGTTGCCATGGAGACTAAAAGATTTCTCTTACATAATTAAAAGAATCAAGGCAAGACTCCAATAAAGTTTTTGATGAAGGAGTAGCATTATGACATGATACAAAGTTGATTTTTGCAGAAATACTGTCCTTTAACAGGTTTAAACAGCAACAATTTGGACATTTTTACTAATTTACTTTGGTAAATATGACAAAACATCTCATTGAAGTTGGAAAAAGTGATTTATTTCACAAAAATATCCGACATTGAAGCAGGAAAGTTTTGATGTTTTTTATACCCAGTGTATGTACAGCAAAAAAAAACAAACAATAAATATATCTCTCTAGAAAAGCAAGAAGCCAGTTTTTCTCTTTTGCTTAAAGTTAGTGTACATAGCTTGAAGGCTCAACCCTACAGATGACCAGTGAGAAGCAACACCTGCATCTGGTGTGTTACGTAGCGTCTCTAAACATCTGTATCAAGTGGGGGAGGGAAGTCCAGACACGGCGACAGTGAGTCCTGGCTGTGGGTGGAGCTAATTCCCGTGTCAGAATCCGTGTCTGTGGCGTCCGCCGGCGACGGGCTGGGTTTGAGTTTTACTGTTCGGCTCAGGCTGTCCTGAGGCTCGTGTTTGAGGAGGACGAGGCTGGACTTCGTTTCCTCCATGCTGTCCATGATTTGAAGGGAGTTAAGCTCGGCAGCTAGCTGCCAACATTCCTGGTCCTTGGCCCTGAGCGAACCGTCCATGTACATGAGCTTCTTGTCCATTTCTGCAACTTGGTTCTGCAGATTCACTCCACTGAAAAGGCTGCGCTTCAATTCATCCTGTAGTCTCTCGACTTCTGCTTTGTAGAAGGATTCATTGCTTTCGGAAAGGGATGCAGCGGCGGCCGCCCCGTTCTGCTCGCCTTCCTCTTCCGGAACCGGAGGGAGGCCAAGCTTCCTCAACTCAGCGTCGATCTCCCGGGACAGCTGGAGGATGAAGTCCTCGTGATGCTGGACCTGCGTTTCCAGCTGCTCGATGCTGTTGCAGGCGTAAAAGTACTTCTCCAGCTGCTCCTCGCTGTTTGCTGCCAAACTCAACCCACAGGCCTGGTCCGAGAGACTCTCTGAGTCGTCTCGCGGTCGGTTCTGGAAACACTCGATCTCTGAGTCCACCTCCCTCATGCGCTGGATCTGCTCTCTGATGGTGTGGTCCTGGTTGAGGATGAGCTGCACCATCCGTTCCACCTCCTCGGTGCCTGGGCAGTTCCTGTTTTCATTGTGAAGTTGCTCAAGCTTCCGGAAAGCCTTCCTCACCATGCGCTTTTGCTTGTCAGCTGGCAGAGGGTGGGCGTGCTGAGCCCGACTGAACTCCCATCGCTTTGCCCTGGCTCCTTTGGACTTCGCACCCTTCTTCGCTGTCTGCGGAACGAAATCGCTTGTTTTCACCAAAACGAACTCGATGAAGGGTTTCTCATCGCCCCAAGCGTACCAAAGTCTCAGGATTCTGGTGAGAGGTGGCAAGGCCCGTTCGAACCCTCTCCAGCGCTCCACGAGACAGAAGTCTTTGGGTTCCCCGTCCAGAAGCCTTTTGCTCTCCGGAAGAGACTTGTGGTCCTCCAGTAACGCCTGAATCATATCTGTGCATGTTGTGTGCTTTGTGACTCCGCAGACGACCTTCTCCTCATTGCAGACGGTAACTTGAATCTCCTTCCCGACCACAGGATCAGTATGTTTAGTCCTGGGCGAAAGAGAGAAAGAAAACAATGTTTACAATTGTGGCTTTGGAATGGCATGTTTGGAAAACATCCACTTTCACCTACGGTAGTTTTTGCTAAGTCCGAGTGACCGGTGACCCGCTCAATGTCCACCCTATCTTTACCACTAACCGTCTTTCCACTTCCAAAACTTTGTCAGTATCCCACTGATGTAAAGCAAATTACAATGTTTGCATTAAATAAAAAAACACAATTAAAATCACATGTGAATAAGCTCGTTCACACAATGTCAATGGACGCCATCATCCCTTGTGTGATTGGAGTTTTCCCAAAATAAAACCATCTCATCCTAGCGCCAAAACTTTTCATCAAAATTAAGAGTTTTCTTGAAATTAGTATGTTTCCATTAAGCAAATGTAATTTTGAAATGTCAAATTGTGCAGTTATATGGTGAATGGAAACACAACTAGTCACTGCTGGAGCCTCCGCTACTATCTAATGCAATGAACAGAGAAAAACTCAACATAGACATAACTTTAGTTTTCCCCAAATATTCTTAAGCATTATTTTGAGTTCTTGTTGCAAACTGGATGCATCATTACACACACAGCTTATAGAACAAGACAACATTTGACGGCAAGACCACACTGGATAACATGACCACCATTTCCTAAATAAAAATGTTTGACAGTCTCTTAAAGCAGTGGTTACAACAATATAGCCTTGAATGAAACTTAAATATAACACCATTCCACCTCTTTTCATGACTCAATGCTACATTGATGCTTTTCCATTAGGCCAGTGAGCATAAAACTGGATTCAGTCATTTTGTGCTCCCCTGCTTGATTCTATTAGGCTGTTACTCAGCATCTTACTCATCAGAGACGATCATTTGGTTCTGAGCTATTTAACCCCCAGGCCCTCATTAGGGTTTTGTCTGCATCATAAAACTTGTTCAAAAATTGACCACTGATGGGCTGATGATGTCCATCTTTTACCGGCCTAATGGAGCACCGGTAATATGCCGGCCCTAATATCCACTCATTAAAGGACACGCAGGCAGCCACAGTAGATAACGTAGCCAAACATTTCAATCTGATTTGAAGATAAAGAGGGACGCATAAAGTTATCGGTTTGTTCTGATGATGACAGGTTTGTATCTTTTTTTTGAAGATGATGTGATTTATTGGAAGTCTGTTATTGTCTGCCAAGTTCCTGTTTCTCTGAGTTACATTTTGAGCAAAGGCCTCTGAAAACAAAAGCAAAATGACTCATAATTCTCCTACAGCTACAGTCCCAACCTAACCAACAGAAAGATCATTTGCATAATGTCACTGAAAGACAAAAACATGAACTCCCACTGTGATCCTGAACCTAGGGCTAATTTTGTGGTTTGAAGAAATATTGTTAAACTTTGGCAACCTGGCCGATGTCAATTCAAGAGCCTCTTAGCATCAGTAAATCAAATTAATGTGCCGTCTAATGTTAAGTTTCACTTGGAAAAGGTTCACACACTTTGTTTCAACTAGTAAAACTGAATGACATCAGCTTATCATCTGCTGGGTTTGGTGTTTCTGCTTTGATATATTTTGCCCTATGACCATGTCTGTTTTCCTTTTAAAATGCTATATAATGAAATACTACATAATTTACAAGGTTTTGTAAGTATTTTCAAACCTCTTGACCTTTTTTTTTTTTATTTTGTGTCTTTACTAGCACAAATATGGAGAGGGAAAAGTGTCAGATTACAATATATAAGTTAAGAAATAATTACTTAACTGTGTCATTAATGTATTAAAAATAAATAATGCAATAAATACAGAAATAACTGATTAAATGTGAAATCATAAGTGGTTCAATAAAATGTTTCTGATTTCATTTTAAAATATGGATATAATTATTTCACGAGTTAAATTATTTTATGATCTTGTGCTGCAGCACATCGTGAATTAATTGAAAAAGTCCACTTCACACATCCCATCCGCATTTTAAGAATGATTTCTTTTATTTGCCACTCTCCTCTTTCCATACGTAAACCTCAACTGATTTTAGATCTGAACAGTGACAAACAACATTTATATTCGCTCCCAGTGTCAACACCTTGTAGAATCTCCTTTCGCTAAAAGCACACTGCTAGTTTGTGGGGAATGTCTCCTGACTTTTGCACATCACGAAAGTCCTTCCATAAAGAACTAATGTGAAAACAGAAGCGGAAACCCTACAAACAACAAAACAACTGCAATTGAGAAATGCTCATAAAATGGAAACAAGTTAGAAAAAGTAAAAGTAAGAAAAAAAATGTAGCAAATACAAAAAACAGGAAGTATAAAATGCTGCAAAGTTACTCCATAAAATGGAAGTCCTCCAGACCACTAGGGGCTGTCTAGAGTATCAGCATATTTACATTCCTAAATATGTTGCTGTTGTATAATACTTCGAAAGAGTTTGCCAAAGAAGTGTAAAGCGATTTTCTTTCTTCTGGACATCCCATATAAATCACAACAGGTCTGATCCCATGTCATTTGCTGATTGACTCCCCCTAGTGGGCTGGAGCACTTCCGTTTCACGGATCGAGTTTGCAGTGTTTCATACTTGCTGTCGCTTTTGCTGTTTAGCTTCACATTTTTCCTTTTGCTTCTTTTTCTCTGTCATTGCTGCGGTGTACTGTTGCATTTGCTTTTCATGTTTTGGAGTTTCCATCAGTCATGGGTTTGCATCACATTTTGAAGCTTGTTGTGTGTTTGCACCTGTTGGTTGCCATAGTTACGAATAATCTAATGATGGACAGTATCTGCTTCATCTCAACTTTTGCCACCCACTGAACAGCAGGAGAAAATAAAGATGATAGCGATATCCATTGTGTCATATCTCAACAGAGATAAAATCGTTCTTTCTGAATGGAGCCTACAAGTTATCTCCCATTTAGCAAGTTTTAAACTTGATACCACAGTGATTTGGTTGCAGCACAACATGAAAACATAACCAGAGTGCTGTGTAAACTCCAACTGAATCAAGTCTCTGGAATTTCGCACATTGCGTATTAAAGCCCAGTTAATGGTTAGGCAAACCTTCGCAGGAAATCGGGGAGAAGAAAATACCTGAGGGAACAAACTCGACCCGACTCTGGCATTTCTACACATCTCGCGTGACAAATGCACCCACTGTTTGTATTCCCCACTAATGCTACCGCTGCAAAATGAAGGAAGCAGCGGGTAGAAGCAAACAGCCACACCTAATCTCACACAGCAGGTCTACCATTAGTCATATAGGTGACAGAGTATTAGGGCTATGGTGGAAAACAAAGGAGGAGTCGATTAAAAAAAAAACAAAAAAAAAAAACATTTTTTGAGATTATTCTGAGGAATTTTCTAGAAAAAACAAACCCTTTTTAAAATCAGAGATGTTCATGTTTTTTAATATAATTTCTGAGATTACTCTCAAAATATTCAGATTTTTTTGTTTGTGCTTCCTGAAGTTCAGAAAAGAAAAAAATTCAAGAAAAAACCATGAAGGAGCTTGCCATTTTTTCATAAGGATATGGAAGTGAAGTGAATGAACAAAGCAGACTTTTATAAATAAACCAAGGTGTAAATATGTGACAAACATGTTGCTCTGGTCAGTCATTAACAGTGAAATAAATACACTGTACAGACAATTGTGTATTTTGGAGTGGGTGAGCCAAGGCCTCAGCTGTACAGGAAGAGCAGACAGCAGAGCAGGGAAACACCTGTGTTTGTCCTGGGCCACAATCACCGACTCTCAGGCAACTTCCTGCCGCTGCAGTTTGACCACAGAGGGAGGAAGGGGAAGAATGGGTTCCATATCGGTCACCACCAACATGTTTTCAGCTCACCTCCAACTTGGGAAATATTAGTTAGCGGCAGCTCTCGTCACAGTGGTTTTAGTCTGGATGGAGCGCAGCCTTTCAGAGACCAGAGACCAATATGTTGCCTCTGGATCCACAAGAGGAAGACATTTCTGTTTAATGTGTAAAAAAGACTACAACTAACACACTTCATCAAACCTTACACAATGTTAGCTGGCCGCCAGCCAGCCTTTTGATGCACCTGGATTTTTGAGAAGTATCAGTTTAAAAACTGCCTAGCTTTTTTTTTCCTTTTTTTTTTTAGCATTCTGTCAAACTAATGCCATAACCTTGTTAGAACAATTATATCAGTACAACATGGAAAGTTTGTTTGTTATCAGCATATTTAGCATAAAAATGTTCATTTGTATAACTCTATGTACTCTTGAGTGCTTTAAGACTGCTTCAGCTTGCTGTTAGCTTTATTTTAGCTTGGCTAATTGTTTTATTTAGCTGTTTGCTTCCTGATGACTGTAGCTTGCTACTAGCTTCCTCTTAGCTCCAGCTTGCTGTTAGCTTCCTGTTAGCTACATCTGACTGTTATTTTCAGCTAGCTGTTACCTATAGCTAGTTGCTAGCTTCACGTTTGGTTCAGCTAAGCTTTAGCTTCCTGTCTGAGTCATTTAAAGGAAAGCTGTTTTCAATAACTTGTGGACTTAGGACGTCTTGTGATCATATAAAAAGCTGGGCCTTTTTACATAACTCAGGTTAAATTCCACTTCTATTACTGGTTGTAATTGTCCAGTGGCTTGACAAGGTGAGGGAAGTTCATTTCAATGCAATCTGTGGAGTCAGGTTTTCAAATCACAGCTTATTTTAAAGTGATTTATTTAAGATAAGCCGCATTATGTTCTACATTGCCTTAGGATCAACTACTAAAGTGAGAAGTAAAACACGTTGAAATTCCCCACATTCAAAACAAGGATTAGTTTAACAGACTGGTTAAATGACACCACTAACAAAGTTACTCTTTGAAGGGATTTAATAGGTTGTTTCTATTACATATTCACTTTTTCCTGCATAAACAGCCCTTAACTGGAACTCTTATCACTGAGATGTGTGGTTCATATAATTACCCTAGGCTTTAGAGTTAATTGGTGAAAATACTGAAAACCTACAATTCATTGTGTAAACCTACAATTCAATTCAAAATAATAA